CATTTCCCCTTCTCCAGTGAGTGCCAGCTCTAGTTCATTACCTAAAGCCTCCACAAAGCCAGACCACCAGACTCCAGCACAAATAGATACGATAGGGCCAGGGACTCTGGAGTAGCTGCTATGTTATTTGTGTTGCATCAGAACATTCTACTTGAGAGTTCTTTCTACTTTTTGCCTCCAAGATACAGTATGTGTATTAATGCACCTCTTCCATGGACTAAGCTGAACTTTCTTTTAGCTTTGAGATGGGGGTCTAGGAACTACATTACAGTGAAGGCATCCATATTGCATAGCAGCAGTGCACAGTGTAACTGCGCCTCTAAGATATGCCCAACCTCTCCATTTGCTATTTTCCTCACTCGACTCTGCGTGCCTGCCGTTTGTTGAATGCTGTTAAATGTTTAATTTCCACCAGATACGGTTGCAGAGAGACACGCTCAAGGACAGGGGTCCAAATACATAAAAACACAGCCAGCTAAATCTCTACGTATTGCCCTTCGTTATCTGTGAGCAAGATTCGCTGTGGTGTGAAATTTAAGGAAATTATTTCACTCAAGTTCGGAGGGTGTTGAGGGACTGTTAGGTCCTGATGTAATTGCGTGAAATTTGTAAAGGTCTGTGTGTCCCACCTACAAATGAATTCAAGAACGCATGTCTTTGAGTGTAATGCTTAATGCTGCAGCTTGCACTTTAGATTCTCTAAAACGTACACGTTTTTCAGAGCACGAATGCGTTTAAAGTCTGCATGCAATGCTGTTAGCCACCCAATGTACTTTACTTATGTAATCTGATGTTTATGGGGCTTGATTTTAGCTATTGAGAAATTTTTGGATTGTGAAAAGTGGATGTTACATAATAGAATGGTGGAGGTGGATATAGGAGGTCCTCATAACATCAACCAAAAAGGATATTTTTTACTTGCTGTCTATTTGTAATTACTTGAAATGTATTAGCTATTTCTGAGTGAAAATAAATCTAAGAAAATCCCACACCATATATTTTTCCTCAATGTAGTAAATGTTAATTTCATGTTTATAATCTACTAATACATTTTTTAAATCAAATGTTGTATCTGTTAATATTATTTACTGGACCTGAGCTAACATGAACTAATATTGCTTTTTTTTTTAAACTAACTTTAACAAAGATGAATACATACTGTAACAAATGTATTGCTCCGATATATTATTAATTCATTAACTAACATTAACCAAACTTGTAAAGGGATTTTTTTCCCCTTTGGTATAATGTGGACTGATGACTTGTTCACATTAAAACTGGTGTTTTAAAAAAATGTATGAAGTGAGTTTTATTTATGGTCACACTTTAGTTCGGGGACCAGTTCTCACTATTAACTAACTATTAACTATGACTCAAACTATAGATAAAGCTAGTAACGTAGTTATGTTTAGGTGTGGGGTAAAATTAAGGGTCATGTAGAATAAAGCATTAGCACTTTATAAGTACTAATAAACAGCCAAAATGCTATGTATGCTAATAAGCAAGTAATTAATATTGAGAATTAGTCCCTAAACTAAAGTGTTACCTGTTTTATTTAGTATGTTACTATTTACTTTTTCATTTTTTTTATTTACTCTTTATTTACTATTTACTTTTTTAGTGGGTTTATTATATAAAATGTGACATTTTTCATTTGGGGGCATAGCAGGTGCTTGGTAATACCGTGCATGTTAACAACACGACTCCTTGTTCAAGCTCTTGTTCTATCCAGGCTGGACTATTGCAATGCTCTCTTAGCAGGTCTTCCAGCCACTTCTATCAAACCTCTACAATTAATTCAAAATGCCGCTGCAAGATTAATCTTTAATGAGCCGAAAAGAACGCATGTCACACCTCTGTTCATCAATTTGCACTGGCTACCAGTAGCTGCTTGCATAAAATTCAAGGCATTAATGTTTGCCTACAAAACCACCACTGGCTCTGCACCCAATTACCTAAATTCATTACTTCAGACTTATGTGCCGTTCTGCAAGTGAACGACACATTATTGTGCCGTCTCAAAGAGGCACAAAATCACTTTCACAGACTTCTACATGAACTGTTCCCTCCTGGTGGAATGACCTGCCCAGCTCAATCCAAGTAGCTGAGTCCTTAGCAATCTTCAAGAAACAACTAAAAACACACCTGTTGGATCTTTATTTGACCCTCTAACTCTAGCACTTTCTATTCTATTTTAATTCTACTTTATCTATTTATCTTCTTTTTTTATTTAAAAAAACACTAGCTTTCTATTTTTTTATGTTCTATCTACTTGTTTTTCTTTGTGTGTGTGTATGTGTGTATAATATAATATATATATATATACACACATACCTTGTTACACTGCGTTAGGCTAACCGAGACTTGTCATTTGCACTTATATATTGTTGCTCATTTGTTAGTTTTGACTGCTTTTTTTGTCCTCATTTGTAAGTCGCTTTGGATAAAAGCAACTGCTAAATGACTAAAAGTAATGTAATGAATGTTGGCAGACCTCTGCAAATTTTGTGCATATTGTTATTGTTATCCATAGCTGGATATTAATGAATTATGGGGGATTCATGTTTCTCAGGAGGAGTTGGTGGTAAACCACATGGCTGCCAAAACCATAGAGAACATGTGCAGCCGTGAGTCTCAATACGCTCAGGGACTCATCACTGCAGAGGTGGGACCTGCACTCTGGTATCTGTTCACACACTCCACAGTGGATGCACTCAGGATCAGCGCTAGTATTAAACACACACTCTCATGACTTTAACAGGGTGTTTCAACACAAAGTTCAACTCTGCGCACTGTTCAATTCAGTTTCAATTTGGAGAGATGATTACAAAAGTTGCAGTGCAAATGCAATGATCCAAGCAACAAAGATTTCCTTTTTCATCATCTTTTTTTTTTTTTTTCCCCCATTGAGCCAGTGACAATTCCATCAACTGTCCTGGGTGTATTTCAGGGCAGCTCTTATTGTCAGGCACTTGTCTTACACTAGGTGATGCTATAATAAGGCCATTTATTTTTTCCTTCATGTCTTCACAACTGTACAGTCTAGAATTGAAATTCTTTTCCATTTAATTGTTGTCCAAGTGTTATGAAGATATGTCAATACAATTTTGGAGAGGGGGTTGGCCATTGGGACAATGTAATTAAAAACCTGTCATAAGTTAACAAAACAATATTGAATCATTATTTGTGCTGCAAATATGGGCCAAAATATTTTTTGGTTTAGACTATTGTAGCGTCTGGAACACTCCAACACACAATATATATTTTGTTAGCTAGAGTGACTAATTGGCCTATAACTTGTGTCAGTGAAGAATCAAAATAGTTTCCATTGTAGTAAAATCACAGTAAATTTGGAAACATACATGGCAGTTATGTCATGTAATTGCCCACGTGAATTATTGGTTATTACACACGTTGATTGTCACTTGCAGCTATATTCATGAATCTTGTTTTATAATGGCTTGGTACAAGAATGATCGACTTTTGGGCATGTGTTTTTTAAATCCGTTATAGTTAATGATATTGTGATTAATTGTTTCCTTTTTTAGCCTAATCTCTGCAGTGTTATTAAAGATCCTTAACCTTTTGATGACATATTTATGTTCCTCTATATAAATAAATATTATGTAACAAAAAGCAGCAGTATTAAAGATTCTGTATTCAACCCACCTGTCTTACGTTTATCTGCCCTTCCAGGCTCTGTGTAAAATAACACGGCAATCTGCGTCGGCCTTCCAGAGTGTGATTGACAAGGTGGGATTACCCAGCATCCTCAGTTGTCTGGTGTCAGGCATCAGCCGTGTCCAGCAGCACATGCTCACTATGTTCGCTGCCATGTTGGCATCAGGAGCACATTCCCACAGACTGGTACAGCACTGGGTATGTACAGTTACATACACAAACACATGCATATATATATAAATATATATATATGCATGTAATGAGTCTGACTCATTGTCAAATGATTTGGTTCCATAAAGCAAATTTAACATAGGCCTAGATCAAGCTTAGTCACTGTGGCAACTTATGCTGGGAAACTAACCTGGTCTAATGCAGGTTAACTGTCAGGCTAAGCTGAGCTCCTTTAACACTGACCAATAGAAACACAATGATATTACCACTTTTTTTACAGTTTCTAGCCATGCAGCCTTTCTCTCTGGTTTTATGACAGCTGTGACTTTTATAGTTTGCAGAACAGATAGCAGAACATTGGAACATTACAATCTAAAATTGCTCTTTAAAGCATTAAAATAACTAAATTAAAAGTTAAAATCACTGAATTAAAAAGAAAATAACTATTTTAACTGCTATAAGAAACACACATGAACTCATCTGAGCTTAGTAATTAGTCCTGTACTATAGCTTACATTTGATTTACCCATTACTATAGTCACTTTACAGTTACTGCTATCATAAAAATACACTTATATGTAGGTCTAAAATTCTACAAAAGACACATTTAATGTCCAACAACAAATATTTGAGCAAAATGCATATTTGACTCAGAATTATTGTGCTATTATTCTATTGCGCTCTGTCTGTTTAGTGCGCATGCACGCAGCAGTGCTCGTTCTCTCGCGGAAGCCTCGCCCACTCCTGACAGCAAAATGGATATATTTGCACGACTTTCTAACATTTACAGATGAAGAATATACCTGTGAAATGTCAGTTGTGCACTGAGGAAAACACAACGTCTCAAATGCATTAAACAGCACAGATATATTCGCTGTTTGCCATGGTGGATCGATTTGATCCATGATCGACATTAAGGGCTGCTAAAGACAGGGTTTCCACAGGTCTCAAAAAAGTCTTAAGTCTTAAATTGTACAAGAAAGTATTAATTATGATTTCAAGAGGTCTTAAATTTGGGGGACAGAATTGCGATATGGATGAATGTGATGAGTGCTTTGTGTTCTGCCGTTACCGGGGAAACGGTTATATTTCTACCAAACACTCCACCTGCTGGCAGAGAATGAATGAGCATTTTCAATAAAACTGTTGTTTTGTTCAGAGTTCAGACCAATGCAAAAATCGATCCATGTTTTTAGCCTGCAAACACGCAGAGCTTTAAATGTGAACTGGTGGATCGATAAGAAGACAATGCATTATAAAAATCTAAACAGTATAGGGGTATGCAATATGTATGGTCTGCGATAATATCGTAGTTGTTGTTTTAAGGATGTGCGATTTGATGTTATCGAGTATATAGTGAAAAGCAAACAAAACACACCTACAGTGCGCGCACATACATTAGATGATGAAGTCTAGCAGGTTAGACTAGTGCGCGTGCACATTTATAGTGCGTTCTTTCACTGCATTAATTAGTCTATTAAAATGCATTTAGAATTATCACATAATTCAAGATATGGGGCAGAAAATGTATATATTTATATCATATCATATAATTAATATCACATGAGTGCCATTTTTTTCTCCAAAAGTCAGCATGATTACAAATGTGATATTGATTTTATACAACAGTTCAATAAACAAGAAGTTAATATTTAGAGACTTAAGTTTTAGACACCATATTTCTGCCTTTGCTCTATTTCTCCAACAAAAAATAATTTCAGCCACAGCGCTGTTTTGCATCTCTGAGCAACACGACGGCATTTTGTTCCTGAATGAATCGACCGTGTAAATGATTCGGTTCAATCGCAATGACTCACTTAACAGTGACTTGCTGCGACCTACTGGCAGTTTTAAATTCACATTTAAGGTACCTTTTCATTTTTAAAATAATTTCATACTTCAGTTTTCAATGTTTTATGTTTAAAATATCAAAACATTATTTATGCATTTGTAATTGCAGGTTAAAGTATTCAATGTCCCTCAGAGCTGCATTAAACAGTGTGTAAATACATCTAAATGCCACTTCAGATGCAGCTTCTGTGTTTCCTCTGCATTGCAAAGATCAATTTTGTTGATACTGATTTCATTTGCTTGGTAACAGTCCAAATGCAAGAATTTGACTCAAAAAATGGTGCACACTTTTAGAAAAAATGGCTTAAAGGTAAAAATGCCCATAAAACTTGTTGGAAATGATTACTTTCTATCACTGCTGTGAACTGACCACACAGAATATGAAGATTATCAAAAAATTCAGGAGTCAGCTGTCAGCACAATTAGAGAAAAGATATTAGCACAATAACATACTCTATAGCAAAATATTGTCTAATTATCGTCATCAATAAAATCCCAGAAATGTATCGAGATATAATTTTTTGTCAATATCGCACACCCCTAATTTTTTATTTAATTGATATAATAATTTATTGATGATAATTGTTTAAATTAATAAAATTATTAATACTTTTGACTCATCAATTTTCTTAAAAATGGTTTAAAGGCTGAAATGTAAAGTTTATCATTTTATAAAATGTTTTGTTTTTGTGAAAACTTGTATCTGAACTGTAAATTATGCTTTTATAGTAATTATACAGTTTAATATGGTACCATAGACATGCCCTTACCCCGCTTATATGGTATTAATTTTATTTGTGCAGGTCTTAAAAAGGTATTAAATTTGAGTTTAAAAATCCTGCAGAAGCCCTGTAAGAATAAGCGTGCACAAATTGTGAGATTGTGTGAACTTAATTTGTCGTTTATGGAGCCGCTTTAGCCCCGATTGATTTGTTAGATTATTTCAGGTCAGGTTTTGGACTTTAATCCCCGCTTTTCCTCAGGTCTCCGTGGTGTTGTGATTCGTCATATTCACACAGCAGCAGGGTGATGAGAGAATGCGCTTGAGAAACAGTTTAGAGAGGAGAAATCAATGTACATATAAAATATTGGTCACTTTCTAAATAATAAAAGTGCAGTGCATCCACTAGTAATTATATATAAATAAATAGTTTTTTACTGATGCAAATATGTTAGAAACGATGCATCGCGATATAAATGCCAACTTGTAGCCGATGCACACTTTTTAAACCGATGCATCGCATCGTTAACTTTTTATGCCATGGCACTGAGTGAATCTGGGAATCTTTCCATCTCTAATATATATATATATATATATATATATATACAGTGGGTACGGAAAGTATTCAGACCCCCTTAAATTTTTCACTCTTTGTTATATTGCAGCCATTTGCTAAAATCATTTAAGTTCATTTTTTTCCTCATTAATGTACACACAGCACCCCATATTGACAGAAAAACA